AGGCCCGGAAGGGTTGGTGGAACTGAGGGGTGTCGGTTGGCGATAATGGTGGATTGGCTATGCAGCTCTCGACCTGACCTTCAAACCTGCTGTTTGCTTGCCAGTAGATGGGACGTGAGGTGCTGCTGGTGTTGCCGTTACAGTCTTTGTCTCGGGCGGAAGTTGTTTCTGGGCTGCTGCCTGAAGGTGTCTCTCTGGCGTTGGTATGGCTGATATCTAGTTCTCTTGAACAGGAGAATGTACATTCCCAGTGTCCTGAGAGTCATGCGAGAGTCCTTCATAGAATGCAGCACTTCATCCATCTTTGCAGCAAAAAGGTTGGTTCGATCGAAAGGTAGATCCTCCAACTTTTGCTGCAGATCCCTGGCTATCCCAGATGCCTGTAGCCAGGATGTTCTGTGGAGGACAACCGCAGAGGCCATCATGCAAGCTGCGGTGTCTGCTACGTCCATGGTGGACTGTAGGGCTGTAAAAGCGACATTATGACCCTATTGCATGATGTTAAGCAATGTCGGCCTCTTGTGCTCTGGGAGGTGTTGGAGCAGATCCTGTAACTTCGAATAGTTGGTGTGGTCGTAATCTGCAGGCATGGCTGTGTAATTCACAACTCTCAAAAGTAGCGTGGCTGATGAATAAACTTTAGGCCCCATAATGTCCACCTTTTTATGGTTCTTATTTTGTGGGGTGGTCCTGAGATTGGGTTGTTTGCCCTTGTGTCGCACCAAGTCCACCACCAGGGAATTCGGAGGTGGGTGCAGAAAGAGAAAGTCCATATTTTTCGGAGCAATAAAGTATTTGTGATCCACCCTTTTATTTGTTGGAGTGATGGTTGCTGGAATTTGCCAGATGTTATCGGCCGGATCCATGATAGCCTTGTCCATAGGGAGAGCTAACCTGGAGGTAGTTGTAGGTTGTAGTGTGCGGAGAAGGAAATATTGTTTCTCCTGCACCTCCTGGAGATCTCTTTATTGAGCTATAGCCACCCTTTCGAAAAGGTCTGAAATTTCTTAATGTCATCACCAGATGGTGCAGCTTCTGGAGTGGCCGCTTCGTCTGGAGAGGACGACAAGATATCAAGCAGTGACCTAGTCTCTCCCTCAGAGAGAGAGTCATGTGCTTCAGAGGGGGTTGGAGAGTTTGGCTCAGTGGCAGAGACCGTGGCAGCAGGCGTGTCAGGAGGAGGAGGCCTAGAAATCATAGAATCATAGAGCTGGAAGAAACCCAAGAAGGTCATCAAGTCCAGGCCCCTGCTCTAGGCAGGACCAATCCCAACTATATCAACCTGGCCAAGGCTTTGTCAAGCCGAGACTTAAACACCTCTAGGGATGGAGACTCCACTACTTCTCTAGGTAAGCCATTCCAGTGCTTCACCACTCTCCTAGTGAAATAGTTTGTCCTAATATCCACCCGGGACCTTTCCTACCACAACTTGAGACCGTTGCTCCTTGTTCTGCCATCTGTCATTACTGAGACCAGCCTCTCTCCATTCTCTTTGGAACCTCCCTTCAGGAAGTTGAAGGCTGCTATCAAATCCCCCCTCACTCTTCGCTTCTGCAGACTAAACAGACCCAACTCTCTGAGCCTCTCCCCATAAGTCATATGCTCCAGCCCCCTAATCATTTTGGTTGCCCTCTGCTGGACCCTCTCCAGTGCGTCCACATCCTTTTTGTAGTGGGGAGCCCAGAACTGGACACAATACTCCAGATGTGGCATCACCAAAGCTGAATAAAGGGGAATAATGTCATCTCTGGATCTGCTGGCAATGCTCCTCTTAATGCAACCTAATCTGCCATTAGCCTTCTTGGCTACAAGAGCATACTGTTGACTCATATCCAGCTTCTCATCCACTGTAACCTCCAGTCCTTTTCTGCAAAACTACTACTTAGCTGGTTGGTCCCCAGCTTGTAACTATGCTTGGGATTCTTCCGTCCCACGTGCAGGACTCTGCACTTGTCCTTGTTGAACCTCATCAGATTTCTTGTGGCCCAATCCTCCAATTTGTCTAAGTCACTCTGGACCCTATCTCTGCCCTCAAGCGTATCTACCTCTCCCCCTAGCTTAGTGTCATCTGCAAACTTGCTGAGGGTACAATTCATCCCCTCATCCAGATCATTAATAAAGATATTGAACAAAACCGGTCCTAGAACCGAACCTTGGGGCACTCCGCTAGAAACCGACCACCATCCTGACATCGAGCCGTTGATCACTACCCGCTGGGTGCGGCCTTCTAGCCAATGGTTGAAGGCGCCCGATGGTGGTTCCTTTTCAAACGCCGCTCCCATGGTTGACATGAGGTAGTGTATGGCGGTGGTGGGTAGGCGTATTGCTGGGCATACCATGGGTGTGGAGGAGGAGTATATGCATACTTAACCACCATAGGCTGCCAGGAGAGAGGTCTATGCTCCGGGCTAGAGTGCTGCGTGGACAATCTGCTCCGTGATTCAGTGCCGATCTCACTGGGGGAGCGAGAGACGATCGAAGAGCGGCGGGACCTCACTGAATGAATGGATGATCCCAGGGAAGGTGGTGCTGATAACATGCGGCTCCAGACCGGGGATCAGTGCCGTTCGTGCCTCCCTGTCGGTGCCGTACAGTGCAGCGTAGGCAGTGCCGGGCCCGATAATGGTGGTGACAACGGCACTGAGGGTCGCTCAGGTGCTGAACTACTGGGCGGTGGCATATCGGTGAGGACCAGTGCTGACTTCGCATGGTGCTTCGCCCGATCCTTGTGGCAGCCCACCAGCGCGGTCAGCGCTGAGGGTGCCTCCAGTGCCGTACTAGTCGGTGTCGCCAATCTCTGTGTTGGCTCAGAGTGAGTTCTCTTATGCGGTGCCGATGGCTTAGGCAACGCCATCCCCGAAGTTCCTGGCCTGGCCTCGGTACTAACCCGTGCGGCCGACAGCGCCGACGGCCACGAGGGGCTCGGGGTTAGACCAGTTTTTGAGGTCACAGGCCCAGAGTGGGTAATGGGAGGATTTTTCTCCATACCCTTACTCAAGTGAGCTGATGTTGAAGCTGTAGGAGAGTCCTCCGAGGATGGTCAAAGGGACTTCTCGTAGAGCAACGTCTTAAGTCTCTTGGCTCAGTCTCGTCGTGCCCGTGCTGTTAATTTCAAACAGTGGGGGCACTGTCGAGTTTGATGCGCCTCCCCTAGGCACTTAATACATTTGAAGTGCCCATCCGAGGTGGGCATGGCATCCCGACATGACTCACATCTCATGAAGCCCGGAGAACCGGGCATGAGGGGTAGGGGAAAAGCGGCAGAGCGCAAGAAGGAAAAAAAAATTATTTTTTAAACTGACAGGGGAGGAGAAGAGGGCTAAAAAACTTGGACTATGAGGAAACTATGGGCTAAAGCTGGGTATTTAACTATTTTTAAACAGGAATAAGGAGAACAGTTGGCTCTGTCTGCTTCCGAGGATGGTAGAGAAGGTACTGAGGAGCCTTACAATTCCAACAGCACTTGAGGGCGCTACGGTGCCTGCACGGTGCGGCAGAAACTGCCGGAAAAAGTCTCTGGTCGCCGGCACAAGGACGCACCAGCACCCAGAATGGAACACTCACAGGAACCACTCGAAAGAGAACAATGTTGAACTAGTAAGTGAATAAGGAGAGCAACTGCAGTACCAACCGATGCTCACAGCAGTAGAGAAGGAACTGAAGGGATGGTTGCTGCCTGTGCGGCCCACTAGAGGACACTGCTACTGTAAATCTCCGACTAGGCATGCAAGAGCACCATAAGACCTAAGGTGGAGTACCCACAGGGACACTCCTTGAAGAAAAATCATTGTTACTGCACAAGGTCAGTAACATCCTCTTCTTTTTTTCCTATAGTCACACATTTTCATTATTTTTTAAAAGCTCTATTAGGGATGTAAAATTAACCAGTTAAATGTTACATTTAACCAGTTAACCGCTTAAACGGGGGCAGGCAGTGACTATTTGGGCCAGGCATGGCATGCTATAGACAGCCAGGCTGGGCCCACCACACCACACCATGAGCAGGAGGGGAGATGCTCCAGCCTGGCCAGCTGGGTGATTCTTACCATTTAACCGGTTAACCATGGACATCCCTAAGCTCTATTTATTTATTTGAATTTATAATAATCATCCCATAAATTTGGGAAGCACAACAACCACCACAATATCTGTAAACATAGCCACACCCAATCTACAATACACGCCTTCCTCAATACCCTGAGAAGACAGAAAAGGAGAGGAAGCATTGCAGTGTGCCTAGAAGGTTAACAAACCTGTGCTCTGGCAGACCAATGCTGAGGAGATGAGGGGGGAAGGTCCTAAAGCAGAGAGCATTCTGCCAGCAACCATTTCTTCTATAAGTTGAGGAGGCCTCCAGCTTCACTGTCTGTTCTAATCTCCACTCTGGCAGTACAGCATGGGGACTCTCTCAGATAAGCAGGTTCCAAACCACTTACTTTATGGGCTAAAATCTACACTTTGAATTCCATCTGGAAGCAAATGCAGGTATCCCAGAGCTCTGGTTGAATTGAGTACTTCTAAAGTGTAATTACAATTAATAAGCATCCTACAGCATTTTGTGCCAGCCATAGTTCTGAATGGTCCCCAGATGTACAGTGCATTTCAGCAATCCCATTGTGACATGACAAAGACATGGATAATTGCCTGTATCACAAAGATGCCTCTAATACCAGGGCAGAGAATAGCCCAGAGAGTGAAGGGGGGGAGGAGGGGAGGTACCATATAGCCTCAATGGACTCCCAGTACTCCCACTCCCTGTGGAAAGCCCAGGACACAGCTGGCTCAGCATGTCCCAGGGATTCCTTCCCCGGTCACAGCCCTACGACCCAGCTGCAGACCCACAGGGCTACACAACAAAAATTTTCCATATGCTGGGCGTGCTTGATTCCAATAGCCAAATCTCATTAACGTTAAAGTCAATGCAATAGGGAAAACTATTGCTATTAACTGAAAGCTAATTATCAATCACTGTATTTAGATTTGTATAACTGAACACTTACCACACCAATGCCTTCAAAAGCAAATATGGCAGTACCAAAAAAAAGTGGATATTTCTTCCAACCAGCCACAGGGGGAAGCTTTCGAGGATCAGATATATTCTGGTGAGAAAAAACACAGCATCATCAAATATTGTACATCAGCATTTCCCAGATTTCTGAAAGCTGAGCCCCTTGCCAGGAAAATAAACTCAAATCACATCCCTCATGCCCACCGCAAAATCGCCATGTGGTGTCAATAGCCTGCACAGTTTAAAGGATAACCAGTATCTGCTGCTCCTCCTTTCCCCAGTTAACCCTCTCCATGCCCTCACACACCCTCTCTCTCACTTGCACTTGGGAAATGCTAGGATAGATAACTGTCATGTGATAAAACACGGCACTTTAAATGCCAGCTTTGTTTACTCCTAGGGGAAATCTGTGCCACTGTGCAATGCAGAATTTTGCAGAAATTAATGTTGAGTATGCAGAATTTTCTCCCCCCTCCCTGCCCCAGAAATGGGCTGCAGAGATGTTGGCTGCCATTAGGGTTCACTGGAGCTGGTAAAGCCCAGCTCTCAAACAGAATGCCAGGCAGAGCGGGTGGGAACTGAAGGATTCCCAGCAGATGAAGTTCCCAATATGCCATGATGAAGGAAGGAAGCAGGGGGAAGGAAACTGTTCAAGTCCAGAACCTAGCATCATGAACCCTGGATTCCTGGATTCTAGAAGGTAAGTCTGCCAGCTTTGGTTGGACGTATTTCATCACAACATTATCTTTTATCAAAGATTAATATTTAATTCCTGGAAAATCCAGGACAATTCTGGAGGGTTGGCAACCCTACTAGGAGGGCAGGGGTGTCCATGTCTGAGCTGGGGGAAGAGGGTCTGCATCTGGCCGTTAGGGGTGGGGAATAGAGGTGAGAGGACTGGGGGTGTGTGCTTGGCTCTGGGCATACAGAGAAGCTGGAACTAGGTCATCTTAAGGGTTTCTTTAACTCTCTACACATGGGGGAATTCAGTTTGTGTCTGTACTGTTGCAGACATACTTGCTTTCAGGTATTTTGAAATACATTTCCAAAATAACTGAAACAGGTGTGATAGCATTACTTTGACAAAAGACATTTGCAGAATTTTAAAATATTGTGCACAAGCAACCCTGACCACTCTTTTGAACTCAGCTAACACATCTTGTGAGAGTTACCCCCACACACTTAAAATGTGAATTTTTGTTTTCATCCCATGATTCAGCTTGCTTTATACAAATCTCTCAAGACATCTTTTAGTATTATAGCAACAATTCAATACATGCAACAATTACTCAACTGCTTAAAAGATTAAAGTTTGCAACATGTGTTCTTAATGAGGAGTCTGAAAATATTCAGTACTGTTTTGGAGAGATGCTAGAATTAAATGTGACAGTTGAAACTGCTGCACTAACATGACAGGCAGTGGAACAGACTCTCAAAAGCTGCAGAAGGCATGCATGGACAATAACTTCTTCACATTCAAAGACAGAACTTCTTTAATAGACATACTTTTTTATTTTCCTGCCTTAATGGCAATGCTGGCATTTAAAGTGCCGTGTTTTATCATATGACAGTTAGCAGGCATTTCTCTTTCTTTTTCAAAGTCCAATTTCCTAGAAACATTCCATCCTTAAAAGACTCTCTCTCTCATGCACTTTTTAGGTACCCATCGCTTTAGTGCCCACATTGTAAGCCATGCTATGTGAAAGTTAGGTTAATACATATAAAAGTCCTTTGACATTACATACAAATTCCAAATGAGACGTCATATCTTTACAAAACAGTGGGGGTGGAAGGAGGGAAGGGACAGAAATGTATACTCACTCGAACAATGTATTGGTAAATTATTACCAGACTGACAGCCATGGAAAAATTGGCAAGGAAGGAAAGCATAGACAGGTTCTTCAGGTCACGAATGAAAACCAGTAGAATAATAAATGGCAGAAAACACAGCATATATATTCGTAAATCAACACTCCTTTTCTCAGTGGGACCAATGGTTCCAGTGTCATTCCTGGGTACAATCCTGTTCTCCAAAAATCCTTCGTGGACCTGGAGGGAAGATGTTTTTTAAAACATCAGCAAAACTGTACTTTATAACAAATGTAATCATTCACATAATATTAAAATCCTAGATAACATTTAAAGCAGCTTAAAGGGAGACTATGTGAGAGCAAGAGGGAGACTTTCCTGCAAGGGTGGGGGCAGAGGCTGAACAGCTGGCCAGAGCATACCAGCACCATTCAGGGAGCACATCAAGGGGCTGTGCTCATCAGCGAGGCCTTGAGGGAGAGTTTCAGCTAAGGCTAGCTCTGAGACTCTCCCCCAGGCCTCTCCATAAGGGGCCCCTGCATTCCCTCTGTATACTTTTACTTTCCCGCCTCCCCCCTTCCCTCGCCCTCCCTTCTCACCTTCTCCCGCCCTTCCTCTGCAGAGCAAATGAAAAAGCCCTCTTTTCTGGAAAAACAAGTCTGTTTATTTGGGAGATATACAACAGGGGAGGGACTGGGGAAAGAACCTGGAGTGAGGGAGGGGAGAGGAGGGCTCAGGGCTGGGGCTGGCACCTGACTTGGGTAGTTCGGGAAGCTTCGGCTGCCCTCAAGGTCCCACTGCCCCATATTCTGGTGCCCCAGAGGCCCCTTGGGGGGCTAAAAGGGGAAGCCATTGGGGAGGCAGGGAGGTGGCCAGTGGCCCACTCCATGCACAAGGCCATGTACTCCATCACCAATGTGAGGGAGGAGCACATGGCCTCTACTGGTACACTAGCTGGTCCCAGGCAGCTTTCCTCTGCTCCCAGGCAGCAGCCCACTCCCAGTACTTCTCTTCAAGCTCTCAGACGAGGGACTGCAGGCAGACCATTTGCTCCCTCGTTAGGTCTTCCTGGATGTGTTTCTTCCTGCAGATCCCGCGGAGTCGGGATGATGGCATGGGAGGTGGGGGATGCACCACGCTTACAGCTAGCCCAGCTGTGAAGAAAAGTTACAAGGGCAGTCATCCCAGGAGACACTGTGTATGAAGCCTAGCCCTAATCTCTGAGCTGACACTGAAGGTCTCGGTTCAGATGATGGCAATGTGCTTTGAGCAAGGACATATATTGCCTTGACAGTGCACCCTTTTCCTGCAGGGGCACGGACGTCCCAGGGGAGCATTGCTATACCCGTGGCCCAGAGACAAGCAAGCATGGGAAGGTGCCAGCCAGGCCAGGAGCCTGTAGGTGTGAAGGGGGGGAGAGAAGCGGAAAATGTGGCTTCCTTCTGTGTCCTGCAGATTCCGGATCCGGCACTAGTATTATCCCACAGAGAGAGAGAGAGAACTTCTATCCTTGCCCACTCTCAGGGGAGAGATGTTTGGGGAGGTGTGTGTGAGCGGCAGAGGCCACTTGCTAGAGAGAGTGCTACTGGGGTCCCCCTCCTCTTCATCTTCCCAGCAGGTTCCCATACAAATCAGTCTCCTCTACATTACCACACTTGATCAGGAGCAAATGCTGCCCGAGTGCAGGCATGACTCTGTGCTGTGTGTGGCACTGCTGTGTGTGTTTCCATGACTCCAAACTCCTTAGTAGTGGCTTGTAGTGGGAAGGTGTCCCATCATGGAGACTGGAGTAAGGCAGGCCTCTCCAGGAACCTTGTGAGAAGGACCGAGGGATTCCTGTGTGAGAGCGTCATGGGGCTGAGCACTTCGGATTGGTGTTCCATGTGTACCCTAGTGCACAGGCTGTTGTGAGACCCCCCAGGCCAAGTAGGCTGAGTGAGGAGTGTGCAGCCCATCTCTTGCCCCCTCCCTCCATTGTGTATAGGGAAGTTATAAAACTCACCCTGAACTGCCTTCCCTGGCTTTCTCCAAATCCTAGGATATATCCTGGAAGGGAGTCGAGGGGGGCGGGGGAGAAGACTGGCTACAGGGTGAAGAGCAGGTCCAGGCTGGCAGTCACGGTGGATGGGCTGGCCTCCTCCCTCCTCCTTAGTTCTCAACCCTGCCCTCATGGAGGCTGACGCCATGTGTGCCCTGGAAGGACTCGACAATAATGGCATCCAGCTAGTCATAGCAGCACATATGTGGTGCTGCCTCAGATCATCGGCTCTCTTCCCTGGCCTTGTTGTAGGCCTGTTGGAGCTCTTTCATTTTCATCCAGGTGTAGCCTTTGCTGGCCAGGCTGGTGGCCATTCAGCTGTGAGTGTTAGCATTCCATTTTCTGGTGCGGAGAGCCTGGAGGTTGGTCTCCTCATCCCTCAATGAGGTCCAGGATCTCTGCATCAGTCCAGGCCGGAGGTCTCCTGCATCCCTGGCCAATGGGAGCCAAAGGAGCTGCAAGAGTGTTGGCAGCTATGGGAGGCTCAGAGGGAGCACTGGGGTCTGCCATGGCTCCTGTTGTACGTGCCATAAGCCCTTCTCCTGCAGCCTGCTGTTTTAAGCTCCACAGGAGAAGTGGAGCAGTAGAGCTGGCAGGTATGGCCAGAGCAGCCACAAATGCAGCTGTGACAGGTCTCTGGAGGCCAATTATTTCAAATTAGCAGCACCGGATCATCCATACTCATGCTATTTTGGAATAACAATTTTGAAATAAGCGGTATTCCTCAAGGAAAGCAGGAGTACAGATTTCGAAATAACCAGCCTTTGGTAGTGTGGATGCTCTGCCTGATATTTTGAAATAAGGGAGGTTATTCCAAAATAACTCCCATGTAGACGAGGGCCAAGTGAGCTAGAATTCATTCTAGAATAAATGTGAATTAAGAATTAATGACTAGTGTAAATACTTGCAGCTCCATGAAGTCAGTGGAGCTATATCAACTGACAGAACCTGATGAGGCAGACCTAAAATGTATTCCTTCTCATCCACATGAAATTTGACACATATTGTAGAAACAAAGAGTTACCATGACATCTAAAGTATTGGTTTTTTCCTGTTCTTTTGTGTATGAAACAGAAAATACTGGCTCATTTTCGTTACAATTTATATAGGAGCTGAAGTGGGGTCTCCAGATGTGAAAGGCTTTTGCAATGCTCAGACACTGCCTAATGTCCAATCACCCATCTTAAAATACCAAAGGAGGTTTTTACACTCCATCACCAATGTGAGGGAGGAGCACATGGCCTCTACTGGTACACTAGCTGGTCCCAGGCAGCTTTCCTCTGCTCCCAGGCAGGAGCCCACCCCCAGCAAGCTGGTCCCAGGCAGCTTTCCTCTGCTCCCAGGCAGCAGCCCACTCCCAGTACTTCTCTTCAAGCTCTCAGACGAGGGACTGCAGGCAGACCATTTGCTCCCTCGTTAGGTCTTCCTGGATGTGTTTCTTCCTGCAGATCCCGCGGAGTCGGGATGATGGCATGGGAGGTGGGGGATGCACCACGCTTACAGCTAGCCCAGCTGTGAAGAAAAGTTACAAGGGCAGTCATCCCAGGAGACACTGTGTATGAAGCCTAGCCCTAATCTCTGAGCTGACACTGAAGGTCTCGGTTCAGATGATGGCAATGTGCTTTGAGCAAGGACATATATTGCCTTGACAGTGCACCCTTTTCCTGCAGGGGCACGGACGTCCCAGGGGAGCATTGCTATACCCGTGGCCCAGAGACAAGCAAGCATGGGAAGGTGCCAGCCAGGCCAGGAGCCTGTAGGTGTGAAGGGGGGGAGAGAAGCGGAAAATGTGGCTTCCTTCTGTGTCCTGCAGATTCCGGATCCGGCACTAGTATTATCCCACAGAGAGAGAGAGAGAACTTCTATCCTTGCCCACTCTCAGGGGAGAGATGTTTGGGGAGGTGTGTGTGAGCGGCAGAGGCCACTTGCTAGAGAGAGTGCTACTGGGGTCCCCCTCCTCTTCATCTTCCCAGCAGGTTCCCATACAAATCAGTCTCCTCTACATTACCACACTTGATCAGGAGCAAATGCTGCCCGAGTGCAGGCATGACTCTGTGCTGTGTGTGGCACTGCTGTGTGTGTTTCCATGACTCCAAACTCCTTAGTAGTGGCTTGTAGTGGGAAGGTGTCCCATCATGGAGACTGGAGTAAGGCAGGCCTCTCCAGGAACCTTGTGAGAAGGACCGAGGGATTCCTGTGTGAGAGCGTCATGGGGCTGAGCACTTCGGATTGGTGTTCCATGTGTACCCTAGTGCACAGGCTGTTGTGAGACCCCCCAGGCCAAGTAGGCTGAGTGAGGAGTGTGCAGCCCATCTCTTGCCCCCTCCCTCCATTGTGTATAGGGAAGTTATAAAACTCACCCTGAACTGCCTTCCCTGGCTTTCTCCAAATCCTAGGATATATCCTGGAAGGGAGTCGAGGGGGGCGGGGGAGAAGACTGGCTACAGGGTGAAGAGCAGGTCCAGGCTGGCAGTCACGGTGGATGGGCTGGCCTCCTCCCTCCTCCTTAGTTCTCAACCCTGCCCTCATGGAGGCTGACGCCATGTGTGCCCTGGAAGGACTCGACAATAATGGCATCCAGCTAGTCATAGCAGCACATATGTGGTGCTGCCTCAGATCATCGGCTCTCTTCCCTGGCCTTGTTGTAGGCCTGTTGGAGCTCTTTCATTTTCATCCAGGTGTAGCCTTTGCTGGCCAGGCTGGTGGCCATTCAGCTGTGAGTGTTAGCATTCCATTTTCTGGTGCGGAGAGCCTGGAGGTTGGTCTCCTCATCCCTCAATGAGGTCCAGGATCTCTGCATCAGTCCAGGCCGGAGGTCTCCTGCATCCCTGGCCAATGGGAGCCAAAGGAGCTGCAAGAGTGTTGGCAGCTATGGGAGGCTCAGAGGGAGCACTGGGGTCTGCCATGGCTCCTGTTGTACGTGCCATAAGCCCTTCTCCTGCAGCCTGCTGTTTTAAGCTCCACAGGAGAAGTGGAGCAGTAGAGCTGGCAGGGGTGGGCAAGGGAGCCTGGAGGCCAATTATTTCAAATTAGCGTCCAGATAGTCCACATTGATGCTATTTCAAAATAACAATTTTGAAATACGCATTGTTCCCTGAGGAAAGCAGAAGTACAGATTTCAAAATAACCAGCCTGTTGTTTGAAAATAATAGGCTAAGTAGTGTGGATGCTCTGCTTGTTATTTTGAAATAAGGGAGGTTAT